GTTTTAAGACAACGAAGTCTCGAACGCTCTATTTATTAAAAAACCGTTTGAAACGTGTATCTTTGATAAGCTGTTCTTGAAAAATAAGCGTAAATTTTTTGACTTCTCAACAATTTTAACTCGAAAATAAAATCGTATGTTGATAAAACGCCTTGAAATGTATCTATATTTTTTTTGGCTTAAGAAAGAAAAAAAATTGGCATCAAAAAATTCAATTTCTGGAGTTTTCCTTGTCGATAACATAAAAATTTACGAACACTTAAAAAAACAACTTTATAAGTGGAAAATTTTAAGTTTTTACGTTCGATAGTAAATAATTTGGTCAAATTTTTTTTGTGTATGCGACAGGCCCACAAAGCGGGAAGACTTATTTTGTCCGGCTTACTGTCTTTTATATGTAAAAATTACTAAACACAGAAACTCAAAAGACGTAGTGATCTTCCGGAAGTAGGGAACTTTTTTTTAATTTAAATTTTGTTTATTTTTAACACAGTTACTTTAACGTAACAACGTGAATTTTGAAGTTTATAATACTATGCATTTTTATTCTTATAATTACTTGCATCACTTGTGCTATATTACGTTGGTATTACGTGCACTACGATATAAAGGAAAAAAATGAACGTTATTATGTGTTATTAAATTTTATCAGAAAAGAAGTGTTATGAAGTGTTAGAGAACCGCTATTTTATATTTACAAAAATATACTTAATACATATATAAAATATATGCATTCTTACGCTTTTCAAGAATTAATGGATAGTTTTAAAAAATAAATACTTGTTATCGATTTTTTATCGCAATTTAAATACATTACACGCACGCACACGCACACACACACACACACACACACACACACACACACACACACACACACAGACGCGCGCGCACATACTGTCAATAGCGATGTGATAAAGATCGCGTATATCATAAAGTACTCACATTATCTTTTAGACTGTTAAATTCATAATGTCAAATTATATCAAATTTGAGCTATTTTTAGTCATTTCTATAAGTTACCACTATTTATTTTCAATAAATGAATTAAAGTAATAGTCATTAAATAAATTAAAATAATAAATTAGACAATTTAATTCAAGAACATGTATTAAAATTGACTAAAATTTAATTAATTTTTTACTAAGTGCCAACGTTAACATGGACGTTAGTGAATGTACTTTGAAATTAACTACAAAAATATGTAGTCAAATTGACTTATATTTTGACACATATAGAAGTTAAAAAATACCAAAATGTTATTTAATTCAAAGGATTAAGTTACTATTGCTCCTTATTTCTAACAGTGTATGATTATTTTTGATGATTATTTGTATAATTATTTTTACAATAATAAAAATAGAAAATGGACTGATAAGTGAAGAACATAATTAAACGAAAGAATTCTATTTAAAGTGGACTCCTCATGCTATTTGTATGTAACTTTTCAAAATATATTTTTAGTTCTATAAAATATATTTTGCTAATTTAGCGCTAATTTGGTTTCTCGGAAATCGCAATTATAAAGTAATGAAGTTGAAAATAGAATATTACAAATTGATCATTAATTAAATAATGATAATAAACATCTTAAATCATTGCAAAGAATTTGCACTGAGAAGAACGTCTCGGAAAAAACTAATACAATATTGTTGACTTAATTTTGTCAGTTAAAATAAAATTAATTTGTCAGTTAAGTATCTTTAAATTGTAACATAATGGAAAATAGAAAATACACAGATTAGCTACAGTTTTGTAGCAAATTTATTTTGTCACATGTAAACACAAAAATTGTGACTCTGCGAAACAAACGCACAAATAAATTTTATTAATAAAAAATACAACATGTTTCTACAATGTTTTAAATAATTATAATACATTAAGAGTAACTTGTTACACACTGGTTATGAAATTATATAATTATATCACCTTAATGAGGATATTTTTTAAATTTTATTCTTCTATCGGGATATATTGCGTAGCTAATTATATCATATGTCGAAAATAAGTAATTAATTGTGGACACAATGAGAAAGAAATATAAAAATCTCTGTATTATTTCGTATCTCTAATCGAAACGTGTTTATCGTTTCCTCTGATTGTTCTCCGTAAAATCGCTTGATTACGCCCGAAAGCTTTATACGGTTAAATAAACTTTGATCAGTGAGTAAATTGTACGCGAGTTTTTATCGTGGGAAAATTGTCACACAACGGTCTGTCTTTTTAAACAACATGTTTTGTTATTCATTCACGTTGAACATTGCTAAATGGAATTAAAAAAAAATATATTTTAACGGAGGAGATATCGCCGTGTGCGAATTCTATATATATTTTTTAAAATTTTCGTTGACCCGCTTAACCGATTCAGTTATTCATGGCTCTGTTAAAACTTAAAGCGACGGTATGGTACAAAATTCATGGCGAGAACGAGAGATGCGATCCAACCAAGTCGAACATTGATACATTCCGAAGCCTTGACTCGACACCGAGAGACCGGCAATAAGGTGTCTCGAATCTCGTACATTCCTGACCTGCGTCACTATAGTTAACAATAACTTCTCGAATAATTATTTTCAATTGTTTCCAAAATTTTTATAGATCTCGTGTAGTGACAATCTGATCCAAATCTTTTTGAGATTTAAAATTTACGATATGCAAATAAAATTTGCATAAAAAAGGTTCTATACACTGATGGTTAGCAGGATCTAAAGAATAACTACTGTTGGAGTTACTAGAGACACTGTAGTTGACTATACCGTTTGTAAAAATCGAAGAAGAACAGGAGAAAATGAAGAAACCGAAGGAGACGCGGAATAATTACCCGATCAATTATATATGCAGTTTTAAATATATCCCGTTTGCATGTAGTTGCAAGATTTGTAGTCTTATAAGTCACGTTTCACGGAAAACGGATAGAAAATTTCCCAGTGAGACCAGGATGTTGCAGACGCGATCTTCTTACGATCTTCCTTGCTGCAATGATTTTTTTATCAGTTCGTAGATTTATAAAAAGTTTCTCCGTCCGTATTTTTCTCCCCCGTTTGCTTGCCAAATCACGAATTCGTCAAAGACGGATAGTAACTTTCTAGGAACTGAAAACATAAGTTTGTGCAGCTTTCAGCAAACAACGAAGTCGTGTTCTTTCTCCTTTGTTTCATATAGTATGTATAACTTTATACAAAACTCACACAAATATTTCTGAATAAAGTTATTATACGAAGACAGCGCTGCGAGCCTGAAGCTGATATTTCCATAAATGTTACTTGAATTTAACCGATTTAATTGATTTTATGTCATTTCTAAAGTCTACCTTTAGAACGAGCTATAGAATGCGTTAAGCTGCAGTTAAGCGCAGCTAACGTTTCAGCTAACTGCAAGAAAATTCTCCTCATAGCTATGAGATATCGGAATGAGATAGAAATCGTTATCTAAAGCTTTAGATAACGATTTCTATCTCATTCCGATGTCTCATTGTACCATATAAGAAGCGGCGCTATCGTTTTTCATCACGTTACCAAAAATAGATACATCGATTTTCTCTTTCCCATTTTGTAACCTATACTTAATTAAATTGAACTCTGCTATTTTTAAATGTCGCCATCTCGCGTATAAATAATTATCACGTATAACATAATAAACTAGAATGAGTGAATGTCGTAATCATGAAATAGGAACACATCAATATTATCCTGATTGCACAGATTCGCTGTCATATGATTTCGATTGGCAACATATTAAGACGAAGAAAGAAATTTATATAAAATATTGATATCTGAGATGCTATATATATATATATATATATATATATATATATATCATAAACAAAAACAAGATTTGAACTTACAAAAAGACACTGAATCTCTTGACCTGATATATTTGAAAACTATTGAGGACGACTTATTTCTCTCAGGCGATTTTATATTCCTTTGTTATCCGCGGTCGCATAAGTTTGTTAAATGTAATTGTTACATCTTTAAAACTGACGGCCCACAATTATTATATCTTGTAAAATTGATACGGATTTATATCTAAGAATGTGTATAGTCACGAAATCTTTCTACATTTGTATCGTGTGATGTTTTTCCTTACATTTTCTTCGTATGTGAGAGAATTAATTACATTATTATCATTAGTAACTTATACATATTGATTTTTTTGTGAAAAAAATCGATGTATTTCCTTGACGGGATTCCTATCATATGACGATATGAGGAATTCGATTTGTTAACAATCTCAAGTTAATATACCCTATTTTTGTGAGAATACGAGTATACGGTAACTTTTGTGACAAGTTAAATAAACGAACTTTATGTAAGTATATACTGAAAACAATTCTAAATTGTGGGTTGAAATATTTATAGAAATTATAATTTATGCATAATAAAAGTAAACATTACTTTAGCATTAAGAAATATTGAATATTAATTTATCACAAAGTATTCGAACAACATAGTCACATTATATGTTAAATTAGCATTCGGATATATTAGAAATTAAAAAATTTTAACAAAAATCATTTTTGACATAAATACAAAATGTCCTGTATTGTATACCGATAATTGAGTTACAGTCCGAGTTAATAATCATATATCGAATTTCGTTATCGCGTTTTAATTGACGATACATAATCGATGAGATCATCAGGGGACAATTTTGGCACGGCGAGGCTAACCATTTGCTCGTTTTTTGCAGGTTCCTAGCACTCGCCGCCTTGTACTGAACCCGATAGCAGTTCAATCGATCGGGAGGTTTCTCTGAAGACGTGATACGTTGGTGCTCCGTGCTCCACGGTGGAAATAAGGATTTCGTCGTTTTCACATTCGCGTTCGCGTGTCTACATCCCCCTTTTTCCCGACCCTTATTTCGCTGTTCCCTTCCGCCATCGCGAAGCGATCTCTCGATAGCTGATAGATCGGATCCACGGAGTTCTTTCTTCGTCGAGAGCGAGGCGAGGAGCAGGTGCGAGACGAAACGAGTCGTGTCGTGATATATCATCGCCGGGCACAATGGCTTGCGAATTCTTTAAGGTGAGTCTGTATTTCTTCATTTATGATAGATGGCCTGTTTCGAAGAGAGAGAAAGCTCCGTGTTGCGAATACAATACATCGGTCATTACGAGTAAAACGGTTCTACACGCGGAAATCGACGAGACTTTACGTATATTTCGTACGTAATGAGCTATGTGTGTGTTCGTACATAGCTCATTTTCGTAACGTCATGAAAAAGACTGACGGTTGAATCATTATGTGAAAGTTTTAGAGCACGAGTTAGAGGCACTAACAAGTTTGTAATTTGTCCCCTTTAAATATAAAGCTCCGTCTGCGTCTGAGAGTAAGTTCCTGTAAATTTAAGTGGATCTCATAAATTATGAACTTCAATCTCCGCAGCGATCCTTGCACGGAAAGAATGATTTTGCTAAAGTATTATGTCTGAAAGTATAGTTAGATGAAGATTTTAAAATATTATAATAATGTTGAACCAAAATAATAAAAAATCAAAATAGTTATACCGGACACTCAAACATTACTAGAAACGTAATTAGAACATCAAAATTTAATTGTTACCAGAATATCAACAATTTTTGCAGAATTAGAGGAAGAGAGAGAGTGAAACGTTATGTCGTTTTATTGAAATAACTTAATGGATATTCACGTGATATAACTACTTTTGATACAAGTTTGTTAACCGTAGAATGATATATATTGTAGGTAGAAGCTCTCTCTTATATACAGAACGAAACATAATTTACAAAAAACTAAAGAGGGGAAAAAAGGTTGTGGTTATGGAGAAGAGACATGTTGGAATACCACCTACTAATATATAGCATAACTTTACACGTCGAATATATTAACACATTTTGTTACCAAGCTTAGTTGAATTATATCATTTGAATTATATCATAAGCTATAGTCACAAAGGCCTCCAAGCTAGTTTGATTTAATAACTTACAACACTTCTGAAAATTATATAAAAAGTATGTATACACTTGTAAACCTGTTCACTATACGGAAAGAATGGTTCTCTGCTGAAGTACCTAAAAATTCTAAACACAGATCTAAAAATTATTTTGTTGGTCCACCAAAAGATTTAATAAATATTTCGATAGATTAACAAAATTATTTTTTAGTATCTAGCTAAATTTTAGATACTTCAGTAAAACTGTCTTTTCTTGTAAAACTAAAATGCAGTTTTTACGATAACGCAATAAGTATGTACTTACGACCAATGGCCATGTTATAACGTCTAAGCAGATTGTGAAGAAGTAATTTTGATGGTCGCTACAAGAATGCACCACAAACTGTACAAAATATCGTGGTATTTCGTAATCTCCCATCTATTCAACAATCTTTTTTTTTATTATCACGTTTCAGCGTTCCATATAATTTATTTTAATGGTCCAACATAATTATTTTCCGATCAGTATCTGGCTTAATCTTTATATACTTCAGTATAACCGTTCTTCCATCTTTTATAAATGTTTCCGTATGTCTTCAAATCCAAATTGTCTACGAAGTATTGCGAAATAAAGAATCTTCATTATCTCGCAATGACTGCTTATACAGATTTGAAAATAATTATTTTATTTGGATCATCAAAATAATATGTGGAGCATTCAAACTGTACTTGCTAAAATGTTACAAATTTGTGCAGCATTGCTATCGACGTTTAAGCGTAATCATTTCGGTGGTAAATTAATTTTGTTATTCAACAAAATTATTTTAGATCTGTACTGTAATTAAATTTTCAAATTCTTCAGCAAAACCATTCTTCCCGTGTAAAAATATCGTCTTTTCCCTTTCGAAACGCTCAAAGGTGCTATTCGATATTTCGCGGTGTGCAAATCGGACACGTCTAGAAAACAGAAGCGTTTACATTGAAGTTAATTGCCGAGGTGAATTCTTAAGACGATGGAACGCCCCGTTTGTAATTTTCCTACAGGCGACAACCATTCGCGGTTCTCGTTTCCTCGTCGCTGGAAGTCACTTAGCGGCCGTCCGAATGTGATGAGTTTAGTTTTGTTTGCATCTACATCCCTACGGACGGGGGGACAACTTTCGCTCCCTCGGGATTGTACTTTGGAAGGCAAACGCTATCATTTCAGTTATCCTTTACTTCGCTCGACGTCTCATATTATTAGTAACGCGAGCGAAAGTTGCTCGCAGGCAACAGCAGCACGTTGATGCTGCATACTTTGTATGCGCATTGCCGCACGTAAATTCTCCGTGAATTATTTCTTCGCGTTGTCTGCTGTCGCGCAGACGACCGTTACCGGGTGTGCACGTATCTCCTGAAATTTCTCTTTTATTAATTAATACGCGCGTGCCCACCGGATGCGTTACAGATGTGCTCTGCGAGATTTAATTTTGAGGAGAGCAGCAACGCCGACTGGACTCGACATTTTGCCAATTAGCGAGATATCGCTATATCATCGAGATATTCCGTATCACATTGCTCTTTACAGCGCGCTGCGAATATCGATGCGGATCGCAATGCTGCCGCGGATACACGATACTGTTTTTTCGCTGTATCGCGCGTTTTATTGGCTCCGTAAAAGTCTGTATTATAATTTTGAATAATCGCAGACGAGCGACCGCTGCGAGTCACAAAAGAGTCGCCGCCGCCGGCACTGTATAAAGTCGTTAATTATCGCACCGGGCGCACGAACGAAACGGTAAAGAGAGGAGGGCGTGGATCGAGAGAGAGCCACTCTTGTCATCGGCTTCCGTCTCTTTGGGCGCAGCTTGAACGATGGCCGATTCACGCGGCTTCAAGCCAATAAACCAGTTGTGGCAGAGCGCGACAGTGTCGACGGATCAGGATTCGGAGTGTCTCTACGAGGAGATCCCGGGCCGGTCCCAGGATACGGACCGGCCGGCTGGTGCCGCCGTTGGGCAGCAGGGGGAGGAGGAAGAACAGCTGGAGGAGGAGGAGGAGAATATCGGCGGCAGCAGGAGGAGCCTCGATTTCGGGGTACAGGTTGGAGATAGCGACTTCTGGGGTGAGTCTGCCCGGGAGGAGATCATCGTTAGGAGCGGTACCATCCCCCGTAGCAGGACCGACGGCGGCGCGAGGTCGCGTAGCGGATCGGCTGATCGACGACCAACGGATCGGCCGCGTCAGCGGGACGTTGTCGTCGTCAGGGTGGAGGAGGAGGCGCGCTATGCCGCGCGCAGGAGTCACGTGGAGCCCGGAACAGGCGCCATACTGCCGCCTCCTGCGGCTACCGGCCACAAGCTGACCAGGGGGCGAACCAGCGCTAGCAACACCGTCGCCCGGTACTTGCATTCAGCCAGCACGAACGCCTCGGCGGCACACTACCATCACCATCATCACGGCCAGCTGCACGGCCAGTATCCCCCCGGCGGCAGGACGACCGGCAGGCAGCACCGCCATCATCACCCTAGCCGCGGCTCGTACAGTAATGAGACGCAGGAAGAGGTACAGGAGGACGATGAAGCCACTCTACGGGAGTTGCTCGTAAGGTACGTTCCACGTACACTCCACCACGCGCGGTAGACGACGATAGTCTCCTCACCCTCTCTCGAGGCCCTCGATCCCTTCGCAGTTGTCGGTGTACTCCGAATCATCAGTCACGCGTGTTATCGAGACTACTTCCGTATATATAACCACCCTACGCCAGCAGGAAGAAGAATCGTTGTTCTAAGTTTTGTTGATCTCTCGATAAGATACGAGCCATTGAACGGAACGATACATATAATTACGGTTATGTTCTCTTCTTCCCTCTCTTTTCCTCTTTTAAAGTTATAAAGAAAACGTTTAACGTTTTATGTTACCAAAGAATAATTGTTCGTAAAATGACTATAATTATTCCGCGGGCTCATCCGATCATTATCAAGAAACCAACACGAGGCTTTTGTAACAACTCAATGTCGAAACACGAATTACGTTATCTAAGGACAATTGGCGTCGCCACCGATGTCTCTAAGAATTATCTGGATTGTTGAACGTTGAACAGCACTGACAGAAGTTTGCGAAGAACCTGTGCCATCGCGAACTTCGTCAACTTCTATCAGCGACCACAACGTTGCAAACTATTCGCGACTTTTGCAAAAATATGATATTATTTTGTACCCCTATGATTATTATTAAAAATCATATTCAAGTGGTTAAAAGCTTACCAGTTTTCGCATTGTTCGTGCCAGTTGAAACGTTAAACTTCTACGACCGAACACGGGTTTCTAGAAATAACACGTAATATTAAGGGAATTGAACTTTCGATGTTTGCACGTAATCTCTTCGGAGATGGCGGTCGTGGAGGATTAACGCCGCGAATGTTGCGAGCGAATGTTCAAGAATTTCTATTTAAAATATTGTTCTAACATAGTCTAGCCTTTAGAATTCTGTATTGACTTTCACATTAGTAGTGACCTCTTTTTAGGGTCTTGTATAGAAATACTTTACTCTTTTCATGACGAGTGAAGCGTAGAAAGTTTTCTTTTTCTAGTCTCTATACCTATCGCCTTAATCTCACGTGGCATGATAGAGTCACCATTATTCGAACGTTCAGCTCCCAGGTGATTTATTCTCGATCTGCTCTATTTCTAATATTGTTCTCTTAATCGAAGTTACAGTCGTATATTTTTAAATCTCGATCGAACAACCGCGTTTTGTGCTCAATAAAATCATGAAGAAGAGCTGTATGCATTCTAATAACACTAGTTTACAAATTTTGAATAATTTTTTCGTGCAAAAAAGGAAACAATTTTTTTTCAAACGTACTTTGAGGCACTGAGATCGGATCTACTGCCAGAAAAATTCCAAGTCGAATTTTTTAAATGTAGCATGTAAATTGTAAGATGTGGCATGACATTTTTAAGATATAGCATGTCAATTTTTAAAAGCGCTTTTTCCGAATAACTTGGATACGAATGATAAGCAAAGGCGAACGTTTCCACAAAGATTTGATGATAATCGAGAAATGTTATTAAAATATAATAGAAACACGCTCGGTGATTATATTACTGGATTTTAATTGTAAGAGAAAAACTAAGACATCAGCAGTAACGAAATCAACATGTTGAATTTGCCACTGTCTACGTTACGGCTTTACGATCTCTATTATGATTGGTCTCTCAATTCGCTTATTAGTTATATTTTATTATTTAAATTGTTTTGTGTCAATTTGGATCTTTGGAATTATTCGAAAAACAAAATTATACGTTTAACATTTCTCTGATTTGTTTTCTACTTTCAATAAAACTGTAGTGTACATTAGAAAAAAATATCTTTTTTTTATATTTAAAAAGCTGAATCAAATGTGAAAGTATTTCGATTTGGCTCAGCGTCAAATATATCTCAAAAACGGTCTTCAATCTCTCTTATATAAAAATCTTGTAAACTAATGTATAAAAAAAAAAACGCAACAGCATTGTGTGCAATTTGGGGAAAGAAAGCAAATTAATTACATATATATGAGTTTATTATTGTTCCTTTTTACATAATATTTCAGATTCCCCTCTTGTTATCGGGTGAAATTCGGTTATTTGAACACGCTCGTCCGTTGGTTCGCATAATGGGGCTCCATCGTGCTAATGTTAACAGTCACGAGAGACTTGGCCCTTTGAATCTCTCACGAGTAACTTAGCCTAGTACCTCCGGTAGAGCGGCGCGTATGAGCTCTCGAGACTCGCATACCAATCAAGGGGACACTTCTCGCTCTCTTTTGTCCGCTGTGTTAAAGTGCGCCCTCCCGCCACCCCCGAATCGATAATACTTATTTTATCGATCTCATAAGCTTTGCTACTGACGAAAACGACTTTACGACCGTATACATCTCATAAACATCGTTCTCTCGAGAACCTAACTGTGTTGCAAATGCATCCAGGTAATTCCGGCCTAAGTGGCGGTGCCTTACCTTACGGCAAACACGTGACCGGCAAAGAAAGAAAGAGGTAAAAAAAAAAAAAA